TCCGACGCCCGTTCGTTCGACGCCTAGCGACAGGGGCTTGGCAGCAGGATCTAGTCATTTAGCCCGTGCGTTGCCTAGCGCACACGCTTTGCGCTCTTAGGATGGATTGCCGATCAGCGGCCGCCTCTCTTAGCGCGCCGATGATGAATTCCACCCGTACTCGCTGGGCACGGGTTTGTCAACAAATTTTCTTCCCACCTTGGCGAGCTACACTGCAAGGCATCGTAGGGGCAGCTACTGGCCTACCAGCGGCTTGCTCGCTTCCTGCGTTGATAGGTGGCATCAGCATACTACACACCTTGCTGATGCTACGCGTCAGTAAACATAGGGACGTGGCGCGGTTCTGTGTCATCCCCTCCCGACTTCAAAAGGAGTTGCGTTGCGAGATTAATGGGCGGGATCACAGCACGATCAATCGCATCCGCGGCAACGTGTGCTCAAGTTGCTGGCATCAGGACATGACCAATCGCTGCGACTGGTCTATGAGTAGCGGCCTCCGCCTTGATTCACCGGTTCGACATTAGGCCTCCGCGTGTCGGCAACGAAACCATCTCTTGTTTTATGATGTTCCAACCCACTTTAGCCTTGATGGCCAGAAACGAATTTCGAGTACCAGAAAAGTACGGAAACTCAAGAGTTTGCACGTGCCAGGCCCTGGGCGACACTCCCCCGACACTGTTTCGACACTCTTTTGACTTTTTTCCGGGTGCTCGAACTTACTTCTGGGATGTGGTTTTTAAGTGCGATAGGGACAACATATTTCTTGTTACCTGTTCTGGACCCGTCAAAGCATGCTTACTTTTCCGCTTGTGTGATCCACGGTGATGTTTCTGTTTGGGTTGGCGCTGCAGTGTTTTGGTGTCTTGTCTCCCGGGGCCCCCGTCGCCGGGCCAGGGTTTTCCCGAGCCCCGCGCGTGGTTTTTCACGTGGGAATTGTGTGCGGTCGCCCGCCCGCCCAAGGCCTGCTGCGCAGTCTCACGCAGCTGGCATTTTCGCGCTGTGCTGAGGCAGCCGCCGATGGCAAATAGAAAAATAACAATCTGAATCTGATGAGGAGAAATATGAGGAGGAGGAGGAGGAGGAGGAGGAGGAGGAGGAGGAGGAGGGGCAGGAGGAGGAGGAGGAGGAGGACGAGGAGCAGGAGGAGGAGGACGAGGAGGAGGAGGAGGAGGAGGAGGAGGAGAAGGAAGAGGGCACCACGCGCAAGTGGGGTCGGCATGCGCCGAAGACTGTTGTTTGAAGGCATGATGGGGGGCAACGTGTTCCGCCCAGTGCCACGCGTCCGTCGCAGCCAGGTAGTGTGAACACATGATTCAGGAGGAGAAAAAAACACAGACACAATTAATCGTCCACTCCCAGGAAAATATGGGAAAATATGGGAAGTGGGGGGGAAGACAGAAACCCAGAAAATATGGGAAAATATGGGGGGTATTTTTATTTGTGTGTATTTATTTGTGTGTCCCAGTTCCCCTTCAATGATGCAGATCATCCTTTCGGAAATCTGAAAGCCACCGAGCTCCGTTCCCGCGGTGGCGACTGTGACGTCCCGCGGCACTCGGCGGCAACCCCGCCTGGCGGCCAGCATCCTTCGAGCACGTGCAGGGCGATCGTGTGCCACCACCTCCAGCCCCCCGTGTCGGAGTCGCCGAGTTTGAATGCCAGGACCCTGCGGACCGTGATGTCTCCGTCGACGTTCTTCCACCGAGATTCTTTGTTGCTTCATGACCCCATCTGGGGGTGGGGGGGCTTACACACTTAACGTACCCAAGAGGGCAAACGAGGGGCCGATAACGACGGGGGGGAAGAGTGATGCGCATGAGCAGGAGGATCAAAAGGAGGAGGAAGGTTGACATAGGAGCCCAAAGTGCTGCTGATTCGCTCAAAGGTAAGCCTCGGCTCTGTCCGCCTGGGCTTTATCAAAGAGTTCTGCGACATTTGCAAATAATGTCATGCGTAGGAGAAACTTGGGGACTCCACCGTGCCGTTTGTGAGCCCACCGTGACCGTACTACGCATACCATTTTATATGCTTGTCTTCATTCTATGGCATGTATGAACCGGCAGAAGTGCAAAGGGGGTCAGTGGGAAGTCAGTGCAAAGGGAAGTCAGTGCAAAGGGAAGTGCAAAGGGAAGTCAGTCAGAGCGCCGGATCTTGCAGGATCGTGCAGGGCCAGGGGCGCGCGTACCCAGGTTTGGGCGCAGGATATTGCAGGATCCTGCAGGATTTCGGTGGATCGTGCAGTGCCCGACTGACCCGGGTTTTGAATGTTTTCAACAACGATGCGGGGATTACCATTGTGAAGGACAAAGGCATCGAGTTTCGGATACGAATTCCAGGTCAACATGCGGCTACCATGTAGGCTAGAATTGGCATCGTACTCTGCACAATACGCACTTAGGACGAAAACTTGACACGCAAGGAAACACCGATAGAATTCAAGAATTCCTCGCTGAGGCTCTGTTCTCGCGCAATGTTTTTACATTTTCAACAGGGTATCATTATATAGTGCACTATTTGGCGTCAGCATACATGCTTACCAGACTTGAACCTGCCGGACCATGAATCACCGACGGAAGCGTTTGATCATAGCAGGGAAGATCAGGTACGCCAAGTGAGTACAGAAACCATACCGCAGGCAAATGCAGTGGCGAGCGCCAATCGAGCTCTGGAGACAGCCGCCAAACAGGCTTGACAACGTGACTACAAACCAGGACACCCAGTTGACTACCATTGGCCTTCAGCGAACAAGGACGACCGGGGAGGATGGAATGGACCACCCCGAGTACTGCGCAATATATTTCATCGCGGGCAAACTGTGGTACAAACAGGCGCGATGCTGATATTTTCCAGTACCCCGACGTCCGACGCATGCTGTCTATAGAAGTTTGATGGTACATTGATACTGTAGTGCTGCCGTGCGTACAGCGCTGGCCTTTATCCGTGGCTCTGCTGCAGGTAACCTGCTGTCGCGTTCGGTTGTGTCCCTGGTCATCGAGGAAGCTTGCGTGCTACGGTTGGTGGCAAGATGCACCCGCAGGTGGACCCTGCATTCGAATGTTTTATTCAAGTGATTGCAGAGTTGAAAAAACATCGTTGCCGTACGTCTCGAGATGATCGTACACAAGCTGGCACACATCGCACCTGCGGACAGTAGTACACCCATACATTACGATAGTGATCTGGTTCCTTGATTGGATTATCATGAGGCAGGCGGGACCTACATGAAAACTGATGAAATCACGGGCGGCACCATATTCAGGATCATCCGATGGATTATATCCTCCAAATTTCTGCGTGCATTCGATCAGAATTTGGCCAATTTCTAAGGGTTAGCAGACGGCGGCTTTGGCAATAACCAAGAAGAACGACAACAGGAGCACAACGGCGAAGTGCCACCGTCTGGAGTTGACTTACTCATGCTGGTCCCCAGCGATCCAGGAGGAAGCGGAGAAGTTGGATGCACAAGTCATGGAGGAGTGGTATGAAAAGTTCACATACGATCTAAAACAACATGAAACAGATGTTCCAAGTCATGGTGACCTGGCTCTGTATGTTGTGCCGACGCAGATGATACCAGACAGATGCATTTTGGTCTGTGCAATGTGCGACGAGCAAGGCAACTTGCCTGCTGAGCCTGAACCACGTATATGGTGCGATGCTGACTGCTTTCGCATGCTTTCGCTAGCGGAAGCTGCAAACGTTATGTCACCACGCTGTGCATATATATATATATATGTATGTGGATGTTAACTAATGAGGGCGAGGTGGGGCGGATGATTCGTACCAGATTCGTGTTGAGGGGCTTCACGGACGCTCGTGCCTTCGACGGCGAGTTTTTTTTGACACGGCTAGCAGCCAAGCCGGAAATGTTCGCCAGCGCGGCAGCATGCCAGCCATTGCAGAATCAAGAATTTATTCGTTTGTTTCACATTCCTTCCCGGCTCGGCCACGGCGGCCCGAATATTTTCTGGGCTTCGCCAATTTTGGCGAAGCACAGCGCTGCCAGGCACCATGGGTGTTCCCGGAGCCAGCATTCAAGCTACTGGCGATCACACGTGGATTCGTCTTTCAAGGCATGAAGTACGACGGATAATTTAAAGTGAGCCCGAACCTCGTAACAGCCAGGCACGCTGACGATAGTAGTTTGGTTGGAGAAGAGAAGCGATTCGATAAATACGCACAGCGTATGGGAAGTACAATTCGAAGATGTAAGTGACACGATCACACATACACTAACTGTGCTGCACGTTCTTGAAATTCTTGAATCGGCGACGTCACTGTGGACAAAAACGACCAATCCAGCGCCCCGAGCTAATTGGAGCTGCACCTGCGGAAAAACAACGACGGTGACAGTCACAATCTTACGATGTGATTGCGCAGGTGCGGCTCATGATCTACGTCGTCACGCCCCAACGAATTCGGGAGCCAATTAATTTTCAAGTTCGGAGGTTGAGCGCGGTGACCAGAAAACTCCTTACCCTGTCCGAAGGAGTTGGCAAACCCAACCATGGCCCCGACGAGCGAGGTCGGTATCCACAGCGACTCTGGGTACTGACGTTTGGCGGGCGATGCCGATGCCGAGGAGGAAGGATACGGCATCCGCGGAGCAGACCCTCTTACGTATCTAGAGCCCCCGAGAGGGCAGACGAGGCGCCGATACAGACAAGTGGGAAGAGTGAGGAGCAGGAGGATGGATGGAGCGAGGGCGGGGGGATGGACGCGGAGCAAAAGGAGGGCGGGGACGAGGAGGCGGAGGAGGAGATTGGCCTCGCGTCTGGAGTGCGGAGGAGGAATCCGGAAGTGGGGTCCGAAGGCGTCTGGCGCCCCCGCCCCCGCGCCTCTCCGCCTCCGGTGCCGTCCTCCCCCGTGCGGGACGGCCGCGGTGTTGGGCCACCCGCCGGCGCGCCCGTGCCCCCGACCTCTCCCGAGCCCCCCTTTTAATCCGCCCGCCCGCGGAGGGGCCGCGGGCGCTCCGCGCTCCTCCGCCTCCCACCGAGCAGGTGCCGCGGAGCCTGGAGCCCGGCCGGCGGCTCGCCGACCAGGTGGCGCTGCAGGAGACCAGGCCCGCGGCCGCGCCCCTGGGAGGCGGCAGGCGCACGAGGGACCGTTGGCATCGAGAAGATCGGTGGCGCCGGCGTGGCTTCTCCGTGGTGGACCTCCGTCGCCGCCACGGCTGGCTGCGCCCCGGGATCCTGTTCGGAACGATGTCTGTGGCAAGTCTCGGGGCCGATGTTGAATGGGGGCGGGGAGAGCAAGCTGGGGAGGAGCATCGAGAGGAGCGTCAGCGAACAGCAGCCACCAACAGCAGCGGCATGATGGCATCAGCAGAAGCTGGTTCAGAGGTCCACGGGGGCATCAATGCGAGCAAATGATGAGAAACGCCCGGGGGTGTCCTGCCACCCCACTTTCCAGGCAACGATTACGTATTTTCCTTGGTTCCGGAAGCTATTTTCCCAATCGTCCCCCCCCCGCACCCCTCGGGCATGGGCCGCGGCGGCCGACGGAACGACTCGGCGTGAGAGGGGGTGAGGAGAAGGAGGAGGAGGAGGCGGAGGAGGAGGAAGAGGAGAAGGAGGAGGAGAGGGGGGGGAGCGGAGGGGGACTCGTTGTGAGAGAATTTACTTTACTAAAGATATGCATATATACTCTGATGGATCCTGCATGGGGCCCACTCTACCTATTGCAAGATCAGGGTGGGCGGTTATAGCAGTCAATGAGGAAGGATAATTCCAGCAGGCGGCATTCGGGAACTTGCCAGGATTTCTCCCCCAGAGCGCGGTCTTTGCAGAAGTCTACGCACTTTTACAAGCGCTCGAACACCTGTCCGGAGAAGAACCAGATTTTGTTTTCACGGTCCACGTGGATTGCAAGAGCCTCTTCAGCGGTGCAGAGAACAGTTTCACGGCGACTTCAGGCGCCACGCCGCTCTCAGAGGTCTGGAGAGCCCTGTACCCAGCGTGGCGTTTACAAAAAGTTCAGGCACACATCACAGATGAGTCCCTCACAGGCATTTCGAGGCGTCATAAACGAGGGGACGACAAAGCGGACGAGTATGCCCGAGATGGAGTACATTCGCATCCTGATGTCTTGGGAAATATATATTCAGATATGAGAAGGCTGCCGCCGAATGGAATGAGATTGCCATGCCTGTAGCTAGTATTCTGTCTGATCTACCGCCAGCCAAGGAGTTGTTCGGTAAGCTAAATAAGGACCCCGCTCCCCCGAAGCGGAAGGTCTTCCCCAGCGGCCGTGCACATAGAGTGTTGTGGAACGGGTGCCGTTGGAGGTGTGTCCAGTGCGCCAGGTGCTTTAATGATAAGAGAGCCCCAGGTAGTTGTACTGTTCTCCCCGACAGCCCTCAAGAGGCTGGCTGAGATCCCGTTGGACCGCCCTCATAAGTTGCATGTGTGTCGGGTGGTCGAAACGGGCTTGCCCATAGTGTTTTGTATGCGTTGTGGGACTTATACGTCTGGGCTTCCGAGAGAGAAAGCTTGGGGGCCCTTGTGATAAGATTTTCGTGCAGCAGAGGGGCCAACAATTCAATGGTCGACTCCCCTGGCCTATGGGCCAGCATGTGTCACATCCCTGGCCACTTACCCCCGATTGCCCCAAAGGGGGAGAGTGGTGGGAGCAGCTCTATGGCAGGAGGTGATCGTGATGTCAGTCGGCCTTAGGTGCCTGCTGAATGCTCGGATGCGTGATTTCGGTGTGGGGGCAGACAGCTGCGCGTCCCTCATCCTGGCCCTGGACGGCGGGTTTTGGCCCTTGTGGCTCCGTCGTCAAGGCTGCTGGCTAGAGGGGCGTTGTCGTTGTGGGCCCTTGCGTTATTTTCCGCAGCCCTTTCGTTCCAGGAATGGTGGGGTGAAGAGGGAGCCAGTGGAAAGGGGGAGTCGGAGGAGGAGGAAGAGGAGGAGGAGGCCTAGGAGGATGAGGAGGATGAGGAGGAGGAGGAAGAGGAGGAGGAGGAGAGGAAGAGGGAGGAGGAGGGGAGGAGGGGGGGGGGGGAGGAGAACGAGGAGGAGGAGGAGGACAGGAGGAGGTGGAGGTGGAGGACACGGGGGGGGGAGAGAAGGGGCAGAGAGGAAGGGTCGTGGGGAGGCCGTCCAGGATGGCAGTACGGGCCCCCCCCAGCAGGGAGGAGGAGGACGGAACGGCACGGGAAGAGGAATCGTGTAATTGGGAGGAGAGGAGGAGAGGCCCTCCTCCTCCTCCTCCTCCTCCTCCTCCTCCTCCTCCTCCTCCTCGTCCTCCTCCCCGAGGACGAGGAGGGCCTGCGGAGCAGGTGCGGGGCGAGGACAGCGCCGACAGCGACGAGGAGAGACGAGCGAGGTGGAGGGGGGCAGATTCGCAGCGGGGAGCAGGGGTGGTACGAGGAGGGTAAAGATTCGCAGCGGGGTGGTACGAGGAGGGTAAAGATTCGCAGCGGGGTGGATGGAGGCAGATTCGCAGCGGGGTGGTAAGAGGAGGGGGAAAGGCAGGACGGGGGGAGGGGATGAGGAGAAGCAGGCGGCCGAGGCGGAGCAGGAAGGGCATAGGGGAAGGAGGAGGAGGTGGTCCAACAGAGAAAGGCAAGGGCTCCCACGAGGGCGCGAAGTTATTCGCGGTTCGCGCTTCGCGGTCCTCGTTCCTTCTCCCCCTCCTCCTCGTCCTCCTTTTCTCCCTTTGGGGGGGCGGCGCGAGAGCGCGAAGTTATTCGCGCTTCGCGCTTCGCGGAGCGCGAAGCGCGAAGTTGGGAGCCCTTGGAAAGGATCGGCTGAAGTGGGAACGAAGGGGGGCGGAGGAGGAACACGATGAGGGGACAGATCAGGCAGTTGGACGTGGAGCAAGCACAGCGGGGGGAGGAGGAGCAGGAAGGCGGATAGGGTAACTAGTAGTAATATGAAGAGCATGCTGGGGGGGCGCGAGGAAGGGCACGAGGAAGAAACGTGAAGGGACGGGCACGAGGAGGAACACATGGATATTGGAGAACCGAAGGGCGAGTGGCAGTGGCATGAAGGGGGGCATAAGGAGGATGAAGATCCGCTGGAGATCCCAGGGTAAGGGAGGGTGGGAGGGCGTCCCCGAATCTGGTCCCAGGGGTCGACCGAAACGGTGTTTTGGTGAGTCCGTGGGCCGTTTCCGTTTCGATGTCGGCTTGCGGAAGAGGCGGATTGAACACGAACCGGAGAAAACGAGCACGAAACGAAAACGACAAACACTGCTCAGGGCGATCCCTGCCTGCAGTGGCCACGCCCGCCATGGGCGCCGCCTGCTGCGCCGACTGCTGGGCCCAGGGGCAGCTCGCTCCTGGCGACCAGCACGAGCACGTGCCCTATCACGAGGCCGTGCTGGAGGACGTCAGGGGCGGCCCAACGCTCGGGGCGAACGAGATGGTTGCGGAAAGAACGGGTACAGGGGGGGCCCATGTCACGAAAATTTTTGTTTGCCTTCAGGGTGCCCTGGGTTTCTTGGGTGTCGATGGTTTTGCCGTGGAAAGCGTGACGTTCCCACACCAAAAATCGACGGACGTCCTGGGGTCTCAGGGTTGGGTTTCTTGTGAAAGCTTTCTTGTGGTCGGGCCCCCGCTGCACGATGCCCAACCGCAGTTCCTGCTCATTTTGACGAGGGCTCGCTGTCCGCAGCGCCGCGGCCGTTGTCCATACAAGACAGGAGGCCGCCCGCCCCACAGCGGCCGCTGTCAGCTTCGGACAACGTTTGCTGTTGGGTATTGTACCCGTTTTTTCCGTGCCCCTGTCGGTCGTCCAGTATTCCGGCCTCCACCCCGAGAAGAGTGGGCGTTGCAAATGCGAGTTGCGGTCTCCAGGACCTCCCGCCAGAGATTCCGTGTTGTTTTTTGCCGCTCCCGGGTTCGCCATGCATGGGCTTTGTTCAATACCCTATCCAGGCAAAGTGTTCACGGTGGCCCGCCGGGGTAGACATCCTCTGACTTCTGACGTTACGCAACAAACAAGTCCACACGTTAGTTTTTGTCCCAACGTTGGGTCTCCAGAGTCCAATTTTGGGACCCAGGTCGTCCGAGAAGCGTCCGTGATTGAGAACCTGCCCCAGGGATGGAGTCGAGAGGGGCCCCACGTCACGGCAAGATCGTGACGTTGGTCGGAAGTCTGGGTCTTTCATTTCCCCCCCTTCGGCTTCGACGTGGTGACGCTAGGCTGTTCTGGCCATCGGGGGCCCCCCTCGCCGCCGCGGCTGGACGCCGCTCGGAGAGCTGGTCGGGATGGTGCCTGGGTCGGCGTCCTTCTGGGCTCGGTCTGTGGGGGGCTCCGGGCCCCCCTCCCGCAAGCCGACACCCCGCTGGGTGCCCACTCCCGGCAAGGGGGCCGGGCCGTGGCCGCCACGCCCTGCCTCCGAGCGGCTGCGCCGCTGCTGTGCAACAGCGCAGCTGGCCTCGGGCGCAGGGTGTGGCGGAGCCTCGGGAGGAGGGCGGAGAGGTGTGTCAGGGGGGAGGAGGTGGGGGGAGGAAGGAAGAGGAGGGGGAGGAGGAGGGCTCAGTCCCAGGACGAGCCGATCCGCAGCATCGGGCGTAGGAGGAGGGGGAGGAGGAGGAGAAGGCAGAGGCAGAGGAGGAGGAGGAGGAGGAGGAAGAGGAGGCGGATGATGATGATGATGATGATGATGATGATGATGATGATGATGATGATGATGATGATGATGATGATGATGATGATGATGATGATGATGATGATGAGAGGAGGAGAGGAGGAGGAGGAGGAGGAGGAGGATGATGATGATGATGAGGATGATGATGAGGATGATGATGAGGATGATGATGATGATGATGATGATGAGGATGATGATGATGATGAGGATGATGATGAGGATGAGGATGAGGATGAGGATGATGATGATGATGAGGATGAGGATGAGGATGATGAGGATGATGAGGATGATGAGGATGATGATGATGATGATGAGGAGGAGGAGGAGGAGGAGGAGGAGGAGGAGAGGGTGAGAAGGGCGACGGGGATCCTGGGCCCGTGGGCGTGGCGGGCACCTCCGCCACCAGGAGCAGATGCTGCAGCAAGCGCTCCTGCAGTCGCGGCTGGAAGCGCAGGGCCACGGCGGCGGCCAGCTCGGCGCGCCACCCTTCCCAGGTGCGCCGCCTGGGCCTGCGGCGGCCTTCGGTTGTCCTCTGCAGCCTCGGGCGGCCCTCCACGGCCCTCCGCGGCCTTCGGCGTCGTCCGGCGGCAGGGAGGGCGGCGACGACGACGGCCAGTGACGACCGAGACTACGACCACCGCGACCACCGCCCCAGGACCACCACGCAGGGGAGGAAAAAACACCTGGACCCGACAGTTGGCGTTTATTAGGCGGCCCTGGGCGTCTACGGAACAGCCCTGCTCTGTTCGATTCCTTCAGTGGGTGCGTCCACGAAACTGCTTCGCGTGTCGGGGTGATTCTTATGCGGGAAGACATTATTCTGCCCTCTCACCACGGCCACGACAACGGCGACCACCACCACCACCACCACCACCACCACCACCACCACCACCACCACCACCACCACGCCGACTCTTCCCGGGTGCCTCGCCAGGCGCGCCGCTGCTGGGCGGGCAGCGCGGTGGCGCGGCACTGTACCCCGGCGGCTCGCCCTCCCGGCTCGGCGAGGTCGAGGACCCTGGGGCTCCCCCCCGGAGACGGCCGGGGCCCGCGCACGTCTGCCTCGCTCCTGCCCGCGGCAGGGGGGAGCGGAGGGGACCCACCCTGGAAACGACAGGGCCGTTTTTGCGTTACAGTGGAGATCCATGCCAAGAAACACCCTGCTTACCTCCAGGGTGCCCTGGGTTTCTTGGGTTTCGATGGTTTTGCCATGGAAAGCGTGGCGTTCCCACGCCAAAAATCAATGGACGTCCTGGGATCAGGGTTGAGTTTTTGTGGACTGGCCTCCACTATGCGCGTCGGTGATTTGTGCCGAGAAGGCGTGCCAAGAGCAGTTCTCCTGTGGTCGGGCCCCTACTGTACTCTAGGCCCCCTCGATGGGGTCGAAGTACATGGGGTCGGAGGATCGCGCCGCATCGCCGATGCATCGCCGATTCGGCTCGATGGGGAGCCCGATTTATTTCACGTCGACGTCGCCGATGCATCGCCGACGTCGACGATGCAACGCCGTTGTATCACCGACGCATCGCAGATGCATCGCCGATGTGTCGGCGATGCGGCGCGAATTTTCCGACCCATCTTCGAGGCCTCTAGTTATTTAGCGGTTTCGTGTTGCCGTTTTCTTTACCGGTTCTGGCGCCGTTTTTTTTTCCAGTTCCGTCGCCGTCTTTCTGCCGGTTCCGGTTCCAGTTCCAGAGCTGTTTGTTGCCGTTTCCAGTTACGGTTTTTTGTACCGAGATGTTTTTTTTGGAAGCGGTGCAACAGTTGCCTTTTCGCTTCTGGGGCCCCTTCAGAGGGGGGTCCGGCGGCAAAATCCGAATTCTGCTCTCGCCGATCAACGACTCAGGCATTTCGATGGGCGGCGGGGGTAGGGTTCGGAATGCCTCGATCACGTGGCGAGATCCGAACCCTACCCCCGCCTCCAATCGATTCAAGAGAATCGATGGTTGCTGGGGGTAGAGTTCGGATGTCGCCCCTTAGGGGTGATGTGGGGAGGGATGGGGAGGGGGGCGTTGGAAGACGAGGGATGTCAAGCCATGTGCACTCGCGCTATGCCTGACGTTCTACACTTCCGCCCATCCCTGCCCACTGCGCTGATGTTTGCTCTATCCGCGGACGCGTGTCATAGCTGGCCTGGAGCTTCCAAAGACCCCATCGTGTTATGCGCAATCTGGAAAGGAGAGCTGCGTACATTGGAAAAGAAGGAGGAGGAGGTGCGGGATGAGCAGGCGAAACCATAGGCGGATGAGGACGGAGGAGGACGAGGACGAACAGCAACAGCAGGAATTGGATTAGAGTGGAAGAAGCTTGACGAGCAAGAGGGCTAGGGAAAGGCGGAGGAGGGGGAATGAGGGGGGCGATAACGATGTGGAGGGACTCGGATCCCGAAAAGTGACCCGCGCTTGGGAGAGAGCGCCACTTGGAACGACGGGAGCAAAACCCTGACCCTAAACTGGAACCCGCGCTGCAGCGGGAACAGCTATTGTGAAACGTCGAAAGTATTCGTAAAACAACCATGCGAACAATACTTTTGGCACTCTTATGTTCAGAACATTGTGAATGGATAGAGCTGGGTATCGTCTGGACGGGATCAGGGGAGCGAGCATAGTAGCATGCACGATGTGCAGTTGTACATTGGAGGAGGAAGGCGACATTAGAGGGGGGGGTACATGATATGTGCTTGACACATGGAAGCCCTTTGCAGCCGCCCCCCGAACCTCCCAAACCGTCCACGTCCATCTTTTTCTCCTCCTCGCCAATCCTTTTCCAGTATATCTGGTCTTCCCTATTGCGCCCCCAGGCGTTTCGGTAGGGCGAGCCGGGCGTTTTGTTTGATATTTCATCAGCGTTCAAGTGTTCTGAGGTTCGAAAGATGCACTACACTTTCTTGAATGGAGGGCGGCTAGTTTTCAACCCGTGTATCTCGCATTCACATTCGCGCCGCGCACATGCGTCTTTAAAATGTGCAGCAGCCTCTAGGGTGGATGGCTTCTGATTGGGAACCTTGGCTTTCGCAACAGCGTCGCGCACATTCGTCTTAAAATTTACAGCAGCTTCATGGACTGTGGCTGGTCACAGTTTGTTTCAGGCGTGCTGAGCAGCTTCAACGATTCGTTGGGTTGAAGTCCCAGGAATGATGTTCTGGTATTGTTTTGACCTGCCAGGACGCAACTTTCACGTTGATTCGCGCCGTGGTTCCTTGGCAAGGTTTGGGATTGCCAGGACGCAACGGTCACGTTGATCCGTGACGTTGGATTCCCAGGAATAGTTTTTCGGCGCGATAAGAGTTCTCAAGCGGTCGTCTTCCAATGCGGCATTTCCCGCAGCGAGCATAATTATTGCAAGGCCTTGTGAAGAGGTCATTTGGAGGGAGGGTTTTCTCGCAGCACTGTCACGCGCCTTCGGTCTGCACTTGTCCCCCCTCCTCCCACCCTTCCTCCTCCTGCTCCTGCTCCTCCTCCTCCTCCTCCTCCTCCATCTCCTGCTCCTGCTCCCACTCTTCCTCCTCCTCCTCCTCCTCCTGCTCCATCTCCTGCTCCTGCTCCTCCTCCTCCTCCCACTCTTCCTCCTCCTGCTCCTGCTCCTGCTCCTCCTCCTCCTCCTGCTCCTGCTCCTGCTCCTCCTCCTCCTCCTCCATCTCCTGTCCCCACTGGCGTCGCTCCTGGCCGCGCTCTCCTTCCTAGTCGGGGCCCATCATTCCGCTTCCCTCCCGTCCCTCCCCCTTCCGCCCTCGTCCCATCTGCTCCACCCTCCGCCGCGCCTCCCCCCCTCCCTCATCCCCCACTCCTCCCGTCCGCCCCCGAAGGCTTCCCGAATCTCCTTGCACCCGACGTCGGAGTTTCCGGGGATGCCCCGCTCCGCGCCCGCTCGCGGAGCCCCCTTCCCCCTTCCCCCCCCCAACAAAATAAATGGAGCACGAGGCGGTGCTGGCGCCCCTTTCCCCCCTCCCCCCGACCCCAGAGAGGAGCAGGAGGCGATGCTGGCGCAGATCCAGTAGGGGGCCACATGCGAACCCTACCCCTGCCCCCCACGATTTCTGAGGGTGAGGGTGGGGTTCACTGCGCTCGGGAGCTCCCGAACGAAGTGAAACCCACCCTCCCCCTCAAAAACCGTGGGGGCTAGGGGTAGGGTTCGCATGTGGCCCCCTAATGCTGGCGCCACCTTCCCCCCCCCGACCCCAAAAGAGGAGCAGGAGGCGGTGCTGGCGCAGATCCAGGCGCAGGCCGAGCAGGAGCAGCTGGCCCGGGCCGTGTCCGCCAGCCTCGGGCAGGGCCCGCCCGCCGCGGCCTCGCGCGCCGGGCGCCCCGCGCCCCTGGGCGAGGACGACGAGCTGCGGCGGGCGCTGGCCGTCTCGAAGCAGGACTCGTCGACCCCTCCTCCTCCTCCTCCTCCTCCTCCTCCTCCTCCTCCTCCTCCTCCTGGCCCCTGTAGGCCCAGACACCTACACACTCAGGGGTTTTGGCATCGACTAGAGAGGTGCCGAACGGTCGAGAGAGCCTCTCTGCGGCGCGCCCATGGCGCCGGCGGCGGCTGCCAGGTCAGCGCTCAAGGTGCTGGCCTTCAACCCCCTGTTCGCCACCCACACCCGCCTCTCCGAGATTCTCCTCGCCACTCGGGCTTCTGATTTTCTCTTGTTGGCAGGCACAAAAGAGGCATGTAGAAGGGGAGGAGGAGTTCTAAAGAGGAGAATAGATGGTCGATTACTCGTTGAAACGGTGTATCAGCCTGGCACTTTTACGAATTCCTCGACGGGTTGCGCCATCTGCCTCGGGCCCCAATATAGAGACCAAGATGTCCGACGGGTTTGGGGCTCTTCTGGGCATGCTGGGGGGAGATCGGTGGCGGCAAGAATAAAGAAAGGTACCTTAGATGTAACGGTGGGGGTTCTCTACTTCCCACCTCAACCCTCCAAGAAGGGCCAGGCTAGTGCGTACTACGGTGCTGTTCAGGCTTTAACACGCTGGTGGCGTGCGATATTTCAGGAACTGCCCGCCAGGACGTTGCCGATTTTTTACGATGACTTGAATGACGGCCTTGGTCTATCCAAGATATCTGGCTCCTGGGAGGCTCCCCCCTCTTCTGCAGTGGGTAATTATTGTCGTCTCCGAGAGGCACGCAGAAAAAAAAGGCCGGGGAAGAAGTACGTAAGTTACTAGAAGAGCAGCATCTTATTGCACCTAGCACGTTTCGTGGGTGCCAGGATACTTTTTACTCTACGGACGCGCCATCGACTTCCTCAAGAATAGATTATATGTTCACTGCTTCTGGTTATTCGGGAAGGATCCAGCATTGTTCTGTATTCCGAGACCTGGGAGCGAAACTACAGACCATAAAGGTTTGCCCCCGAAAGGTCATCCGCCACTCTGCTTAGTATTGGATTATGAGAAAGATCCTCATGAGTTACCTCATCGTCCACCTCAGCGTATTTCGACCTCTGCGTTGATGCAGGCCGTCCACCGTCGGCAGGGCAAAGTTCCTTCCTGACCGATGTTGATCACGCTATTCAGGCTAATGCCGAGGAGCTGACGATGCTCAGCGAGAGCGGGGCTCCCGACTCTTTCTTCGAGCGATTCGAAGACCTGGTCAGCACTGTTGGGCACCAGCTTTTTTCTCGTGCACATCGGGCCCCTGGCCCCCAGGTTGCTAAACGGCGACGACAATTGCTAGCAGACCGTCTTAAGCTAAAGGAGCAGAGGGCGGAGGTGGAGAATCAGGAGGAGTTGGAGAGGATCGAGGAGGAGCTCAAGAGCTGGTCGGCGGCACTCCTTCAAGACAGACGCAAGGCGAGGAAGGAGGAGAGGCAGGTTTACGTCGAGGAGACCGGGGTGGCATGAAGGGGAAGGGGGATGGCGGACGCTATGGCCCTCTCACGTCGAGCGGCACGGTGTAGATTCGGGGCCAAGCAGAGGGGCGGAAGACGGCTGGGCCCCCCTCCTCTTGAGCGCACAGAGTGGTTGCAGTATCTTGAGGAGGCAGGCAATCAAGGAGGTATGTTGGCGAAGGAGATCTCATGGGCAGAATGGAGAAGCACGAGAGAGGAACTTCCATCACCACCTACTTCTGCAGCAGACGAGCCCCATATTCTGGGGCTTGCAGGGGAGGGCATCGCCCCCCTTAGATTTTATGTGAGACGAGCAGGTAAACGCCGAGCAGTCCCTCCAGGAACGATGCAAACCGAACTATGGGATATGATCCCCTCGCCAGCTCATGGGATGGATAAAGTTAGAACTCAGGGCCTCGGTCTGCACGAAACCTTCCAGATGTTAAGTCCGTTCACGCCGTTCTCCACTTAGGACTTGCAAATATTAGGAGGACGGATCTCGCGCCACTCTACTACTACTGGCACCGGTCGAGGGGGATAGGGTTGCCCAAGTCGAGTGGCCCAGGGCCCAGGGGGGGAAGAGTAGTACATGCGCCCCCCTCGATTGGAAAATTGTGGCATGCTAAACGTATTCGCCAGACGTTGCCCGTGCAGGGCCATGGATTTGCCAGGCGACGGCGGCAAGACGACGCGATCATGTCCACTATGGCAGTTAGTTGCCGATTGCGCCAAGCTCATTGGTCTCTCGCAGTTACTGTGAAAGATAGGTCGAACGCCTTTGGGTGTACAGCTTGGCCATGTCTAGATCAGGTTGTCCGTGACACAGTGAATCCATGTGATCGAGTACTCTGTAGGCAGCGTTGTCGGTTGTCGGTCGTCGAACTAGAAACTACTGCTGGTCTCCTTACTGTCAAAGCGGGGGTGGTAGGAGTTGTGGGAGACCCATTTAATGCGCGTGGGTTCGCTGGAACACTTGTGGCACCAGTAGGAGAATGGGCCGTGGAGGTGCGACAGAACTCAGTATGCACGCGTCTCCTCACCTCGCAGTGGCGCGGCAAGCCCATCGATCTGTCTTTCCAGAAGTGCGCAGATTATTTGCGGCGCACCATCCCCTTGGCAGTTGGCACGAGTGCGAAAGAGATCTTTAGCATGCTCAAAGAATCAGATAACCTGTTGGACGCGGCCCTGCGCGAGGCAGGATACGCACATAACCGAGGTGAGCAAGCCGCGAGTTTTTACATCGAGGGGTAGGATCAACCGGGGTCAAGAGGCTTATCAGGACGGGGATGGGGGGGAAGGAGGTCGACGGGATGATCACGGACGTTGCTGGGCACTTGGGTCCAGTTACCACTCCTACGCAGCAGTCGGCGCCAGAGCTCGAGAGAAGAATGACTGCCGCAACGTCGGCTTACTTCAGCATGGGAGGTTGTTGGTCTCTTCCTGTTTCCAAAGCGTGGAAACGCACGATTTTTCTGGGCCCCGCCCAGGGTTCTATATCATCGGGTCTCGAGCCTTCTCATCCTGAGTGACAAACAACACGCAGCCCTGGATCGCCACGCTGCGTGGCTGGGCAGGAAAGCTACGCAGGGGGTGGATTGCAAGGAGCATGAGGATGGCACGAGGCAGTCCCTATCTAACCAAGTTATTCTCGAATGCTGGGGTCTAGCCCCATGCAAGCAGGAACTACTTACCCGCCGCCTTTCCTGGTGCCAGAGTTGGGCCGTGGCCCAGGACGACCGCGTCCAGGTTCTTTGTGCCCTCTTCGGTGAGTTCCCCTTCGAAGAGACGGAGCGTTGGCCATGTAGCGTCGAAGGCCTCACCGAGTTCGCCTCCCCGTGGGCTAAGCGCGTTGGAGCTGATGTAGGCGGGGCGATTGCGAGCTGTCCTGGTGGCGAGGAGCTTTTGACCCGTGTCAGCAGATGCCCGCGGTTCTCACTTGACGATGATGTGCGCAGGGGTTTTGCTCGCCTGGATGTTCGAAGAGTTCGTGCGCAGAGTAAATCGCATGAGGTGCCGCCGCCAGCATGGGAGGAAGAAGGAGATCGGCGTTGTGATCCTGAGGAGGAGGCTACGGAGTTTACACATCCCTTTAGGTGCACGGTGGAGGAGGGGGAAGGAGCTTGTGGCAGTATCTTTGCGACTAAGAAGGGGCTAATGGAACGCTTGCGACACAGACGCAATCTACGCAATCTAAGTCATGTACCGACAGAAGTTCATGAGTGCATTGTATGCCAGCGTATATTTATGTTCCAGGCGACCGCGCCCAGACATTTGCAATGTTCTTTACGGAGAGGCCACCGTGGGAGATTGAACTCTCGTTCCCTTGCGCCCCACACGGGGCCAGCTGATTTTACTCGCAAATACTGGCTATGAGTGCCGTGACTTGTCAGATCTCCGTCGCCATTCGCTGGCCCACCTTCCATTTCGAGTTGCTGCGCGCCCGCCAGGTGATTCCATATCTCCATGTGCCAGAGGGCCCAAGCGACGATTTGCAGAGACCAGCCTGGATGGAGCCAGGCGCGAGGAAGGCGGAGACGGATGCTTCATCGGCGGCGAAGGTTCGAACAGAAGGCGAGGGCAAGGGCTCATCCGTCGCCAAGGGCGGCGCCGAGAAGGAGAAGAATACGTGCGCCCTCCTGCTCGCGCGGGCAGAGCTCGTCCTCACAGGCGCCAGGCAGCTGGCTTTTCTCGAAAACGTCACGTACGAGACCTTTTTCGTCGGCGAGGCGGCCGAGAAATCCCCGGGCAGGATCTGCGCGGCGGCGGGCGCAGAGTACGACGCAGGCTCGGAGGTCCTGCGCGAGCAGAAGGCCAAGGGGGAGGACGTGGACTTCAAGTCGAGAGGACCTCCGCATGCGACTGTGCACGCACGGGTCACCAAGCGGGCGCTGGACGAGAGCTCGGACTTAGGCGACCACCCCAACTCCAAGACGTGCGCGCTGATGGGGGGCGCTGGGAGGCGGCGGTGATGAAGCGCTCGGCCAACGACCTGGCCCAGGACGTGCTGCGCTTCAAGTATCGCAAGGCCAGCAAGAACCAGGAGAAAGGAGTTCTGCTCTTCGCGATCGCACAGCGGGTGCCTCTCCTGCGCAACATGTGGCAGGCGGCCATGGGGCACCTCATCCAGCACGACAAGATCGAACGTGCGTCAGGGCCAGCACCGATGGGGCCCTCTCGAGAGGGAATCTTCGAGGGTCCTCAACGAGATGCAGGGGAAGGACGGGGGCAAGGGCGAGGTGTAGGCTGGATGCAGCACAGCGACAGGCTTGCCAGTTTAGTGAGAAGGGGTATTGTACCCTCTTCTGTCCTTGGCCCGTCCATTGTCACGTATGCGAGTGATTCTCTCCCCCCTGCTCCTGTTGCCCAGACCCCCCCCCCCGCCCCCCCCCCCCAGAGGAAGGGGCAAGTGTGCAGCAGGCCGCGGTAGACGAGCTGAGGGCGCCAGTGCAGGCCCCCCGCCTCCGCAGGGCCCCAACGGCATTGGCCGCTGGAGGTAGGGGCGCGGGGGGGGGGGGGGGGCGCTCAGGCAGGAAGGGGTCGGGGAGGGGTGGGGCCGGGTCGGTGGGTGGGGGAAGTGAAGGACTGTAGGCTGTCGGCCCCCCTGGATGCGCCCGCCAGAGGCTGCGCGCCTGAGAGCGGATCGCCTCCGAGTGGGGCAGCGCGGGCCCTGCCCGAGTGGCCATTGGGTCGCTCAGGAAGTCTTCAGGATTATATATTGTCGTTTAACAACGCCCAGAAGCGATCAGTCAGGCCCCCTTCGCTTGAAGTCGATTGCTTCCCAGGGCCAACTGAACTGAACTGAACTCCTCCTCCTACTCCTCTCCGTCGTCGTCCTCCTCCTCCTCCTCCTCTTCGTGCTCCTCCTCGTCCTCCTCCTCATCGCCCTCCTCCTTCTTCCCCCCGTCCAACTTCTGGTGGTGGTGGTGGAAAACAGGCTCATCAACTCAGGAGGTGCAGAAGAAGGCCGAGGTGGCCGTAGAGGATTGGGGGCAGCGACAGTGGCGAATGGGCCCGGGCAGAGCAGTGCACGCACGCAGCCAGGGGCGCCGATGATCTGTGTCTCCGGCAAAGGCTATTCGCCCTCATCGTCGCCGCCGAGAGGATCAGGGGCAACGATCGCCGAAGAAGAAACAAATGCACAAACACAAGATTTTGGCGCTCCGCGCGGATTTCTTGGATCCGCCCCTGGCGCGCTCCGCGCGCCAGGGAGGGGGGTCCAGCGCAGATCCAAGAACTCCGCGCCGACTGCCAAATATTAGGATCGCCGATCGGGGCCCGATTGCCCCACCCCGCCCAGGAAGGGGCAAGTGTATTATTGGAGGCCCATCGCCGATCTGTCGAATATATATCGCCGGTTCCATGTCGATGCATCCCCCCCTGTGCCTATCCCCCCCGTGTCGTTGCTCCTTGGGGGACCCGTGGCTCTGTAGCCCCCCGCTTCCCACGGGAGGGGGTCGTGGGCCAGGGGGGGTGTCCTCGCCTTCCCAGGTTGCGCCCCCCCCCACCACCCCTCCAGAGAGCCAGCGGAGGTGGTGGTGGGTGGATACAGCGGGCCCATTTGGCCACCGTCTTGCTCGGCAAGGGGGGGGTTCAGGATTGACAACGAATTTCCATACAGTGGAGACCCATGCCTGGAAACACCCTGCTTGCCTCCAGGGTGCCCTGGGTTTCGATGGTTTTGCTGTGGAGAGCGCGACGTTCCCACACCAAAAATCGATGGACGTCCTGGGGTCTCCGGGTGAGACTATTGTGGAAGATTTCTTGTGGACTGGCCTCCACTATACCCTCAACGTACCCTCCACGGGCCACGGTCCAATCAAGCTGTCGATCGTGCTGCGCTTTTGGCTGCTCGGACTGCCCCTGAAAGGTCTGGTTGATTGGTTGTGGCCGCCCGCGCATTACAGTCAGCATCCTCGAGTACTGTGCCAGAGAGGCCTTACGCCCTTGACTATTCGGCCCATCTTTGGGCAATTTTGGGAAGTCCAGGGGCTGCGCATGGACGTCCAAAGAGCTCGCATCCTCACCTTGCTTCCTCAAACTGGGTTCGCGTCTGCATAACTAAAGAGAGAGAGAGGGAGAAAACAAAAAAAAAGAGAGAGAGAAAGAGAGCGAGAGAGAAAGAGAGAGAGAGAGAGAGAGAAAAACAAAACAAAGAGAGAGAGAGAGAGGCGGGGTCACCACGGAACAGATCCCAAGGGGAAGGGGTTGCATGCTCACCCGTAGCGGGTGAGGCCGCGGCTGCCCCGAGCAGCGCTGGACTTGGCCGCCTCGCCGTCGTGGGCCCACAGGCAATTCATCGTTGCCGGTGGCCGTGTCTCGGGGCGGCACGTCGAGGCACAGCGCAACGGTGACGCAAATGCGACGCCTGGGGCGGGCTTGTGCCGCCGTTCATGTTGCGAGGTCCGACTGCATGTGAATTCATGCAGGTACCTTGGGCACCTCCCTTCGGGTTGTGTCGTCCAGGTGTTCTGTCCGGGCACAAAAGAAAACATTCCCGGGCGATGTTTATCCCCCGCCCTCCGCCTTTTTTTCTCCAGTCAGTCGCGCGCAGAGACTGGGTTGGGGAAAAGGGGGAGGGCTCCGCGGAAACCTTCCTGCTTCTTAGAAGGCGCGGGCCCCATGTATAGAAGTAGGGCCAGAGCCTTCTGAGAAGCAGGCTCCTTCTGAGAAGCCTTCCCCCATTCCTCCTATAACCCCGTTCTCACGAACGTGGATTACCCGCCGAACGTAACCCGGACCTCGGTGACACTGAGCCCGGTCCGCGCGGACTGGGCGTGACACCTGCATTTTTGCGATGCGCTTGTCTCGGAATGACGCTCTGGCCTGTGCGTGGGCCACGCATTTGATCAGAATGCTGCTGCCGGCCAGGCGTCAGCGACATCCTTCATTGAACTCGCTGTTCTCGCCTGTGCTCATGATGCTGCGGGTGATGTTGACGATGGCGATGATGAGCACGATGGCGATTATGATTATGATAATGGTCGTGATGGTGGTGATGATGATGATGATGATGTTGACGATGTTCAGTATCAGCAGCATCAACATCATCATCATCATCATCATCATCATCAGCATCATCAGCATCATCATCATCACGGCCACATTTCTGCTTGAAGCTGTGGCTGCCGCATCAAGGCGCCAGCGGCACCCCCTTCAGGTGCGCGCGGCCAATCCACAGGCCACCCTCGCGGGGGCGCGGAGGTGGCCGCGGCTCGCGCAGCTCACGGTCTGGGCCGGAGGGGGCCGCCTTCCTCCCGGGAGGCAGCGCGGAGCGCGCGAAGGATGAGCGCGCGCCGCCCCACCCAGCGTGCGGCGCGACGCGCAGGCTGGACTGCAGTCGCCCTCTCGAGACCTGGCTCCCCAGGCTCGTAGAAGGAAACGTGGGAGGTGCCCCCTCGAGACCTGGCCCCCCAGATTCGGAGGAGGAAGCGTAGAAGGGGTGCCATCGCGGCCCTCTGCCCGTTTTCGCCTCTCCGAGCCTCCTGGGCGGCCCTCGTTGCCCCCCGGGAGGCCCTCACCTCGAAATTCTGGTCAGAACGCACCGCGGGAGAGGCCGGGGGAGCAGCGGTATCGGTACCATTTGATATTCCCGATCGCCCCCTCAAGGCCTGGCCCCAGGTCCCTCCCAGACCGCTCTCCGGGTCGCGTTCGGCCAGCGGCGGAACGAGCGGCCGCCCAGGACGAGCAGAGGCGAGGAGGGGACGGACGAGGCTTGTCTTCCCAGGCAATCCTGGGAGCACGGAGCAAACAGTTGCAGAGCGATCCGGAACGCTGTCAGAGCCTACAGTGGAGACCCATGCCAAGAAACACAACGCTCGCCTCCAAGGAGCCCTGGATTTCAGGGCTTTCGATGGTTTTGCCATGGAAGGCGTGGCGCTTCCGCACCACAAATCAATGAACGTCCTAGGGTCTCAGGGGCGGGTTTCTTGTGGAAGGTTTCTTGTGGTCGAGCCCCCACCCTACAGGGGGAAAATCCAAACATAGTTTTAAAACAAAATAGTCTGGAGACCATTTCGTTTTTTATTGTTGACCAAGTTTGATTATTGTTCGGCTATTTCCCGGATTTTCGCTCCAAGTCCGCCTGTGGGAGGACACGCCCGACCTAACAGTAGGGCGATCCAGTGCGCTCTGGATCGGCCGGAGCGCCCGCTCACATCTTGCAGGCCCGCCGGCTCCCAGAGAAGCCGAGTGTGTGCCCGATGTTGTCCCCTTCCTGTATTGATGGGCCTGTTTTCCACCACCACCACCATAAGTTGGAGGGGGAAGGAGGTGGAGGTCGAGGAGAAGGAGGAGAGCGAAGAGGAGGAGAAGGGCGAAGAGGAAGAGGAGGAGGAGGGGGAGGAGGAGGAGGAAGACCCCCTCCCCCTCAAGTTTATGGTGGTGGTGGTGGAAAACAGGCCCATCATGTATGGGGGTGCAATCCTCAGGAGGGAAAGTCAAGGGAGGAAGCAGACAATGGGCGTTTGCTAAACGGCCTTAGGTATTAACTAAACAGCCCTACCCTGTTCGACTCCTTCAGTGGGCGCGTTTACTAAACGGCCTCCCGTGTCGGGGTGGCCACTATCGGGGCGGATTATCCCGGCAAAGCAACCTAACAGCGATGTGTAGAAGCATATCTGAAAGCATTCCCCTTAAGATTCAGATGAAAATCCAGTTGTAGAATTCTGCTGTTCTCGCAGTCGTAGTCGCATTCGCGATGACAGTCGCAGCGGCAACGGCAGTCGCAGTCACAGCCTCAGCCTCAGCCTGCCTCAGCCTCAGCCTCAGCCTGCCTCAGCCTCAGCCTCAGCCTCCCTCAGCCTTTCAGCCTCGGCCTCAGCCTCAGCCTGCCTCAGCCTCAGCCTGCATCAGCCTCAGCCTCAGCCTCAGCCTGCAGCATCAGCCTGCCTCAGCCTCAGCCTCAGCCTGCCTCAGCCTCAGCCTCAGTCTGCTTCAGCCTCAGCCTCAGTCTGCCTTCAGCCTCGGCCTCAGCCTCAGCCTGCCTCAGCCTCAGCCTGCCTCGGCCGCAGCATCAGCCTGCCTCAGCATTCACAATGTGGCCCAGGAATGGAGTTCTGGGAAGTAGAAGAACACGAACCTGGCCTACAGTTGGCTCCGGGCATTCAAAATCATGCCCAGGAATGGAGTTCTGGGAACTTGAAGAGCACGAAGTGGCCTACAGTTGGCTCCGGGCATCCAAAATGTGGCCCGGGAATGGAGTTCTGGGAAATCGAAGAGCACGAAGTGGCCTACAGTTGGCTCCGGGCATCCAAAATGTGGCCCGGGAATGGAGTTCTGGGAAGTCGAAGAGCACGAAGTGGCCTACAGTTGGCTCCGGGCATCCAAAATGTGGCCCGGGAATGGAGTTTTGGGAGCACCAAGAGCGATTTTGCGAGGATGTCCCAAGCGATTTCGGCTTCGGCGGCACCGCCCCGGGTCCCGCCCAGACCCCCTTGTGGAGTCATCTGCTGCTCTCTTTTGAGACCACTAGAAACCTATCAGCAAAAGCTGTTAGGTAATTTTCTGCCCTCTAGAAAAAAACACAGAGACGCAAGTGATCGTTGTTTATTGGTTGCTTTGCCGATCGTCGCGGGCCCTTCCCCCCCCTCGGAGCAGGTTTTTTGTTGTTCTCGGCGCCTGTTGCAGGCAGGTGGAGCCCCTCCCCCAGAGGACGCGCGGTTGCAAACAGTCCCCTAAGCAGAGGTCCGGAGCCAGGCCCCCCCCTCTCCCCCCGCCTTTCCGCCCGATGCCGAAACGCCGAATAAGAAAACGCTTACCAAATCATCGTCGGTTCCCCGGGACATATCCGAAAACATTGGAAGTGGGGGGGAAGACGAAGCTCCAGATAATATGGAAACATCTAGGGGGGTTCCTGGGATATGTGTCTGTTTATTTGTGTGTCCCTGGGCCTCTTTACATGAGTGATTCTCCTCTGCCCCCACCCCTGCTCCTGCAGTCAAGACGCTGTACTAGGGACCACTCTGGTCGCGGGGGGGGGCTCTGATTTTCGGACAGTGCTGCAGGTTTGCGCAGGTCGGGGATTCTCTATTTGTCTATTATCCTTCGCACCTGATGCGGCACGATGATTTCGCCCCACCTTGTTGCGCCCCCCCCCCAGACCCCCGACGTCGTCATTTTTCCACAGCGTGGACCCCCAGAGGTCTGAACCCCTTCCCCTGGACCAGTTTTTCGTCCCGTGCCGTTTTTCTTGGACGGTCCCGAGGCTTGGTAAGGGCCCCCAGAGTCCGAAAGTGGCGAAGAACCTCCCGCCGTGACTTTTGTCACAACGCGAGGGGGTCTGGGCCCACGGCCCGAGGAGGAGGAGGCGCGCCAGCGCCGGCTGCTCCGGGAGCAGCAGGCGGCGGAGCTGGAGGAGAGCCTGCGCATCGACCGCGAGCGCGACGCAGCGCGGCGGCGGGCCGCGGCCGCGCCTGCCGCGGCGCCGGCGCCGCAGGCCGTGTCGCGGGGGGCCAGCCTCGATCGGTCGGCTGTTGTTTGTTTGTCATCGGTCGATCGGTTGCGGGCCCATATGCCGCCCTCCTCCACCTCGTCCTGCTCCTCCTTCTCCTCCTCCTCCTCCTCATCCCCCGCCTCCTCGCCCTCCTCCTTCTCCTCCTCCTCCTCCTCCTCCCGGTCGTCTTCTCGTGGTCACGGTCGTGTCCCATCGATCGTTGTTTTTTCTCGACGCAGTCGTCGTGGTCCTGCTCGTGGTCGTCGTGGCCTCGGTTGATCGTTGGGTGTTGTCCTTCGAGCGCTCGATCGCAGGCCCAGCCTCGATCGATCCAAGCAATGCACATCACTGTCAAGTTATGCCAGGCATTTTGAAGCAATACCACACTGCCAGTCAATTCTCGGCAATTCCGAGCACTGGTCAGGTCATGCCAAGCGATGTGGTGCATTGCTCAGATCTGTTCATCTCGGAGGACCAATGCCTCCAATTGGGGTCGCGTTGGGATCATTTCCTGGGTTGCGTCTAGGGCACACCGCGGTCACATACCCCGGTGTCATGATACGCTTAACACTGGAATTCATCACGACATGCATGTATGGGGGTATATGTTTGGCGCGCGGTATTTAAAGATGGAGTCGTACAGTTGCAATTCGCACCACGGTATTGTCTCGTGGACTCCTGTGCGGGTCCACTTGGAGCCCTGCGGCGCTCGCATGGGACGCCCTTTCTGGCTTCCTGTGTGGATCGCTGGGGGGTCCATCGCGGGGGCAGGGTGGTACGGGCGAGCTACGAGTTTGGCGCGGGCCGCGGCCAGACGAAGCTTGAGAGACGTTTCGGGATGGCCCCATTCATGATGGGCCTGTTTTCCACCACCACCATAAATTGGAGGGGGGAAGGAGGTGGAGGATGAGGAGGAAGAAGAAGATGGGGAGGAGGGTACCCTCCCCCCCTCCAACTTCTGGTTGCGGTGGTGTAGGAAAACAGGCCCATCGATTCAGGAGGCCTCGACCCGGGGTGATTGTTTGGCATCGTCCTCTCGCCCAGGGGTTTTTTACCTCACTTCCAGCTCACTGTTCCAGCCTCCCTGGTCCGCGTCATCGTCGCGCTAGCCCTTCCCTTCCAAACAATTTCTGCTCCACCTCGTTCTCAACGTCAACCTAGCCATGAACCTTATGCTCCTTCTCGTCTTCACCTTCCTCCCTCTCGTCCACTCCCCTTTTCCTCAACTCCTCGTCTCTCCTCCTCCTCCTCCCCTTTCCTGGCGAACACAATGGGTAAGCGCGGCGGGAAGTTCTGGTTGAGAGGGGTTACGTCGTCGCCAAGATTGCCCGTATTCCCCTTCCCCTTGGGAGGAGGAGGAGGAGGAGAAGGAGGAGGAGCAGGAGGAGGAGCAGGAGGAGTTGGAGGAGGAGGTGGAGGAGGAGGAGGGCACGAGGAACTTCCCCTGACTGCGTCTGGGCCTCCCCGTGCCGCCCGAGGCGACGGCGCCCGCTCGCACGCCGCCTCCGCCCGCGGCCCCGCCGCATCTCTCGGCGGCCTCGGCGGCCGCCCCGGCGCCCAGGGCCGAGCAACCTTCCCTGCCCTCCACTGCACTCCTTGCTACCTCCCCCCCTGGTTCGTCGTGCTCGTCCTCGTCGTCGCCCTCCTCCTCCAGCGTCCTCGTCGTCCTCCTCTCCTTATGCCTCGCCACCGCGGATAAGCGGTGCTGCCTGGGCTCCGTGTGGCACCGCCTGAATGCGGTGTGGGTCCGATGATGTCAGATCCTTATCCCGCCCGCGTTCCGGGTGCGATAAGGATAGGGCGGAGGGCGGCACCTCCCGCTGGGAGGTTCGTGGTCGTTCGTTGTCGTCCTTCGTGTCTCGTTTCGTCGTCATGTCCGTCGCCCTTTTCCTTTTTGGGAGTTGCGGCACGGCCCTGGATTAGGTTCCAGGGTGGACGTTGTTTGCGCTCCTGGGCCGGAGAGTGGCCCCCTCCCCCTCCCCCTCCCTGCTGCCGCTGCTGTTGCCGTTGCAGCTGTCAGGCCAGGGCTTTTAGTGCCCTGCCACCTCGGCCAAGAGGTGCGGCCTGGGCGCGGGAAGACCCCGGTGGCACCTCCTGGTCTGAGGTGTACCGCCGTTTGACGACCACGGAGGCGGGGCCCGCGGCTTTCCGCCTGTAACCTCTTGGTCGCAGTGCTCTTTGCCGCGGGCACACTGTTGCCGTGCTTGTGAGGGTGCGGGCGCTGGGCAACGCTCCGCGTATTGTCCCTTGGGCGCCGATCCCGAACCCCCGTGCGCCATTTTGGCGCGGGGTGTAGGGCGGTCCTTGTTTTGCTTTCTTTTCCTTGATTTCCTCCCTAAGGCACAGCGTTTCTGGCGCTATTGGGAGTTAGTCAAGGAAAGGAGGCCGGAGGTCAGGTCCCAGCTTGTGTCCGTGATCCCCTCTTTTTGCGCGTGTGCCCTTGGTGTTGGCCGTTGGCCACTTTGGCCGTTGGCCAGGGCACGTTGGCCCGCGCTTTGCTGAGCGCCACGGTTTTGTTCTGCCTTTTGGGCCTGCAACAGTCCCCTCTTCTTCCTGTCCCCTCTCTCATTCTCCTTCCGCTCCCATCGTTCTCCCCCATGTTCGTCTCTCGTTGTCTTTCTCCTCTCGCCTTCTTTGTCCTCAGTTCTTCGCCTCCCCCTCTCCTCCTCCTCCTCCTCCTCCTCCTCCTCCTCCTCCTCCTCCTCCTCCTCCTCCTCCTCCTCCTCCTCCTCCTCCTCCTCTTTCTCCTCCTCCTCCTCCTCCTCCTCCTCTCCTCCTCCTCCTCCTCCTTGACACCAAATTTCTTCCCTGTCATCCATCCTCGTATCCTACATCGCCGTTTTCCTCCTCGTCCTCGCCCCCCTCCTCCGTCTTGAGGGGAGGGTCATGGGTCGCTTGCCCGTCTTGGATCTCGTGTGAGGTCCTCGCCGTCCCGCCCGGGTCCGCCTCGAGATCCATTCCAGAGGTCGACGCCGACCTGCCCAGCAACAGAGACACGCGCAGGGCAGGGCAGGAGGTCGAGCGCCGGCGCGCCAGCGCGGCCCTCCGCGCGGCTGCCGCCGTCGAGCCTGGCCCGCCCTCGTCCGCGGACAGTGCCGAAACCGACGGGGCGGAGGTCCCCTGGCCCTCCCAGCGAGCCACCTCCACCTGGGAGGAATTCAAAGACAGCCCGCCGCAGGCGCCGAAAACTATGATTTGTACACTGAACGCGGCTTGGGTCGCGGATGGGTCGCAGGTTCTCCACCTGGAACGGATGCAAAAGAAACCCGCCGCAGGCGCCGAAAATTTTGGTTTGGTCGCGGGGTGGGTCGCGGGTGGGTTGCACAAGGGTCGCGGCTGGGTCGTGGGTGGGTCGCGGTCGCGGGCGGACTGGCTCCCGCAAGTCTTGATTGCGGTGAACCTCAAGGCGATCGTGCCCAGAAGTGCGCGCAGCCCTCGCGGTCTATGCCCATCCAGCACCCTCTACCACCCACCATGCCAAAGCGTCTGCACGCCTCCACCTCGGCCTTCACGTGACCCCGGGGCCATACGCTTGCCTAGACCTGAGGAGAGCCTTTCACGCATCAGCTCTGCGGCCTGAGGTCGCCAACATGTACAGGTGCAGTCTGGGAGAGCTCACGCCACCATTGCTCGCACGCGTGAACTCGTCCAACACTATAAGAGCACGAGTGAGTTACCCGTCCAACAGGGCGAGTTCGCGCACCGCCGCGTCGCGCGCCTGCAGCTCAGACGCCGACCAGATATCCCTGCTGAGTGAGTCGAGCATGTGTTGGAGTTGGACAATTTTGGTTCCCTGTTCCCTCAGCGCCGGCGCGTGCCTGCGTGACGCGTGGACTGAAATCAACATCGACATATGTTTGCCGCCGACCCCCGCAATTCTAGTTCTGCGGGCTCGGCCTGCCCTGCGTGCGTGGAGGGGGGGGGGCGTGAACCCAAAGGGTACTTCGGCTCGGTCCCCGCGCCCTCTGGTGCCACGGGGGGTCCAGCTTCATTTCGCCGGACACGATGGGGCCTGATTCGCTTTCTAATACATCCCATGTCACCACCCACCAAACCACCCATTCCCAAGCCGAAGGCTCCAATTTCCCTTCCATTCCCAGGTGAGGGGAGGTCGGGGAACATGTGGAAATCACCGACGAAGCCCGCGCCCCCCCCCAAACCCGAAATTCAGGTCTTCGGGTTGGGTTGGGGTTGGCTGGTAGGTAATCGCTATTACAGCCCTCTCGTCCCCCCTTGCCCCCCGTGGTCTTGCGTGGTGGGAGCGTGGTTGGGGATCTTGGTGCGATTTTTGCAGGGTGGTGGCCCTTTAAAATCTATACCCAGAGGCCCCCCCCGAGGGGCGCGGAGGCTGGCCCACTGCCCTGACTTCCCCGAGTGCCGCTTCGGACGCCCCCGGCCGAGGCGGCTCCCGCTCGCACGCCGCCCCCGCCAGCGGCCCCGCCGCTGCCCTCGGCTGCACCCTCGGCCGCCGCTGCTGCCCCGGCGCCCCGGGAACGCCCAGCGAGACAGGGGTCGGGAGCCTTGAGACGGGGGTCAATGCAAGCGGGGGTGAGCCAGGGCACCGGATCCTGCAGGATCCTGCGAAGACCCCCTCTGGCTGACCCGGGTCAGCGAGCCGCTCGTGGCCGCGAGGCGGCCGCGCGTATTGGCTGACCCGGGTTTGCGAAGATCTGCGTTGCAGTTTTTTGTTTCCTGCGCTGCAGTGTTCGGTTTCCTGCTGACCCGGGTCTGGATTGACCGGGGCCAGAAGATCCCCGAAGGGGGCAGCAGCACCCAGCGGTTTTTGAAAGTAGGCATTCTGGATCCCCAGCTCCGATTCTACTTTCGGCGCTCCTCTGCTTCAAGGATCGAGTGGCTTCACCATCTCCGTTCTCTTCAGGGGGCGGGCGGTCACCCAATCTATGTTCAACGCCTGCCTATTTCATGATTCGACCGACTTCTTCCGACCGGTGGGCAGCGGGGGAGGATCGCCTCGGGGGGGGGACGCGTCGGCCCCCCCAAAGCCAGTGGTCGTGGGTAGGGGTCCTGGTAGCCTCCCTCGCCGGGGACGTGCGGCTTCGCATTCGGGGGCCCGGTGCCGATTCATCGGCGATGCATCGCCGATTCCAGGGCGATGTCCCCCCCCGCCCCAGTCCTTCCGCATCGCCGCCCCTAAGCTAGGGGCGCCTGAAGTTGCCTCGCCACATTCGGCCTGCGAAGGCCGCCTCTTGGGATGATATGTGTACATATATATACATGTATGTTTGTATGAGTATGTTTTGAAAGCATAGTTATATGTATATATGTATGTATATATGTCTACATACACATGTATGTATAAATATGTATCGCCCCCGTCGTGGAGAGTCGCCGAGAGCTTCGGGGGCTTGTGACTCGAACACATCGAGTCGTCCCCGTGCCCAGGGCTGACTTGCGGCCACGCGCAGAATGAGGGTATGTAGCGGGAGCGCGGAATGCTTCTTAATAACACCCCTGCTTCTTAGAAGACGCGGGCCTTGCCTAGAGATGTAAACTTGGCGCATTCTACGAAATAGCCTCCTTTAAGAAGCATTCCCCCTCCCCCTACCCCGTTGGTGCGCGCCGCCGAAAATCGGAGCAGAGCCTGCGGTGCAAACTGCGTGCGAAAGGTGAGGTCGACAGCCTCTAGGGGGCCTCGAAGCGCAGAGATCTTTTTGAAGCTTGGGACGGTGCTTGGGACGGTTCGCGCGGTGTCAGAGACCGTTGCCCATGATGGGCCGAATTTCCACCACCACCACCAACAACAACATAGGTAGGAGAGGGGGGAGGAGGAGGAGGAGGAGGAGGAGGAGGAGGAGGAGGAGGACGAGGAGGAAGAGGAGGAGGAGGAAGAGGACCAGTGTAAACCCAAAAGCCATCAACAGTGTTTGAATAAACCCTCCCTCCAAGTTCCCTCTTCACAGGCCCCTACAACGGTTCATTACCATTGAGGGAACTGCCTCTTTGGAAGACAACCGTTAGAAGACCCTGAAACATCACAAAATATCGTCCTCGGGATTACAACTTCACGGATCACCCTGATTGTTGCGTCTTGGCAAGTTTCAACCGTGCCAGACACGCCATTCATGGGATTCCAGCCCAGCGAACCAACATAACAGTATCACTTGCATAACCTTGAATCCTTTTGAAAAAATAAAAGAAAAAACGTTTCTGGCATGTTGATGATGGGACTCCGTAAAATTATTGCAGATGTTGTGAAATAATGTGCGCAGCGCCAAGGCCAGAGCCACATTTGAAAAGGAACCGCCCTCAATCCGTGAAACTCTTTGCAGTTTGTTTAACGCATGTGCGCCGCTCTAGGGCGAGAGCCACATGTTAAAAACGGCCCGCCCCCATCCCGTAAAACTCTTGCGTTTTTTGGCGCATGTGCGCCGCTCTAGGGCGAGAGCCACGTGTTGAAAACCACCCGCCCCCAATCCGTGATTTTCTCGTATTTGTTTAACGAATGTGTGAGCTAAGGCGAGAGCCACATTAAAAACTACCCGCCCTCAATCCGTGAAGCCCTTGCAAACAGTTATATCTAATGCACGCCGCGCTAATGCGAGATTCACATAATGAAAATGACCCGCCCTCCATCTGTAAAAATGTTGCCTCGTGTTTAAGCTTCAGAGTTATACGTGGTGGAGATGTCTCAGGCGAAACGCCCGGCCCGCCCTAAAAACTGGCTTCGGGGTGCGACAGGGAGACGTTATGCATAAGGAAAAGGAAGGGAAGGGGAGGAGGAGGAGGAGGAGGAGGAGGAGGAGGAGGAGGAGGAGGAGGAGGAGGAGGAGGAGAGGAGGAGGGGGAGAAGGGGGAGGGGGAGGAGGAGGAGGAGGAGGATGAGGGGGGGCGGAGCAGGAGGAGGAGGAGGAGGAGCACCTCCCGATCATCCCGTCTTCCCCGTCCTACCCATACCAGTGGTGGTGAACTGGCCGCAGCCTCGCCAGGGCCCACCTCGCCAGGGCCTACCTCGCGGGACGATCGGAGCGGTTACGCTTAAGTTGGGCATGCCCCTCTACAGGAGGAATGTGCAAGAATAGTTTCAGAATAGTTTGGGGACGATTTTCACTATTTCTGACTATGTTTGATCATTTCTTGATGATTTGTTTGTTATTGCTTACTTTCTTGTTTAATTAAATCAACAATGCATTCGCCCAGAATCTGCCTGTAAGAGGACATGCCCGACCTAAGGGTACGGAGAGAGTGTGGACGAAGACGAGCATCAGTCCCTGCCATTTCGAAAAGGACTCGGTGTCGGCGCTGCCACGGGCGGTGCCCACCAGAGACAAACGAGAAGGGCGCGCCTGGCCAACAGCAGACAGCGGCCGCGGTCGGCTTGCGACAGCTTCTGCTGTTGGGCATCGCACCCAGTTCTTCCGCACTTGCCCGGGGGTTGCCAGAGGTGCCCCTGGCCCGAGGTGCCCCCCCCGCCAGTTTTTTGTCTCAGTTTTAGGGCCCCTGGCCTGGAGGCCGTGGGGGCCTCCTTGGGATTCCTGGGGGGGACCTTGGGCCAGGGGCACCTCGAGCAGCAGCCGAACCTGCCCCCCTTCCAGAAGTGCCGGACGTGGGCTGGGGCCCAGGGTGGCCACGGCCAGGGCTTGGGGGGGCCGAAGGTTGGGGAGCGGCGGGCGCACCGAGGGAACAAAAAAAAGAGCGGGGCGCGGGGGGGGGGTCAGAGGAGGGAAACGTACCCCTGCTGCCACCCTGGCCTCGATTCCCCCTGTGTGGGCCTCCCGGGAGGCCCTCGTCGCCACCGCCGGATTCGCCTCGAAGCTTTGGCCCGGACGCACCCCGTGAGAGGGCTGGGGGGTAGCGGTATCCGGGCGCCCCCCCGAGCAGACAGGGGTTTTCCTCATGCCTCCTCCTGCTGTCTGCGATGCCTTTTGAGAAGCCTCCGAGGTCCTCTGCTTCCAAGACGAAGCTGCATGGGCGCAAACTCTCTCGGGGCTCCGCGCGGACCTCCAAGAGTTTCTACGTGTGCAGCTGTTCGTTCTGCGCCCACAGGCTCCCGCGAGGCCGCTGCCTCCAGAGCCCGCTGCCTCCGAACCAGGGCGGCTGGAGGTCCTCGTGAGGCTCCCGGACGGGCGGCGCCTGCGCAGGGGCTTCCGCCAGCAGGACCTGATCGGCGCCCTCTACGACTTCATCGAGTGCGAGAGCGGAGGCTCGGCCGAGGAGAAGAGTGCAGCAGGGGTCGACCCAAACGGTGTTTGGGCGATTCCGCGGGCCGCTTTCGTTTCGATTTCGTTTTGCAGCCAAGGCGGACCGAAGACGAAGCGAGGGACAACGAAAGCAAAGCGCAAACAAAAAACGCTGTTGGTCGACCCATGGCATCCAGTCTCCACCGCCCCTTGCCAGGCCCATCCTGGGCCAGCGGTGTCAGAGTGCGCTCCCCCCCCCCCCGGCTTGGCCAGGGAGGCAGGTGCCCCGCTTCCGGGCCTGGCCAGGGTCGGTGGACATGGGGTGCAGTCAAGCGTATCGGGGGTGGATAGACCTCCTACCCTGACACCCTGACCCTCCCTACGCTCTGAGAGGGAGGCACCCTCCATCCACGACGCGCTTGCCAATTCTCGGGGGTGGACAGGCCTCCTACCCTGACACGTCGATCAAGGCACTGGCCGTGTGCGGTTCGCGAGGGGGCGTCGCGGCCGTCATCTTTTGCGGGTCCAGGTCCGTCGGTTCTGGTCCCAGCCCGTTTTCACTGAGGGGAGGTTTTTAAAGGGAGGTTTGTCCACCGCCGAGAGTGCCCCTTGGCATCCTGGCCCCTTCGGCCCGTCCTTGGCCACCTTCGCTGGCCAGCCTCGTTCGAGAAACGTCAGCGTGGCCCTCCAATGCCCCCTCGCATCCTCAACGCGCCTCGGGCTGGCTGTAGCTCTCGTCGCCCGACAGGCGCGCTCGCGGTGGGCAGCTACCAGCTGGTCTCGACGATGCCGCGCCGGGTGTTCTCGGACCGAGGGGTCACCCTGGCGGCGGCGGGCCTGGCGGGCAGCTGCGCCCTGCTGGTCGAGGCGACGGACGCGTGAGGGGCACTGCCTCCTCGGGGGGGGGGGACGCGGCGCGCTCCAGCGTTGCGCTGAAGGCGCTGCGGTAGGTTCACGTCGTGTCGACCGGCGGCGACCTCGTCGCCGGCGTTCGACGTTGAACGCCGCCCGTGGTCCAGAATCGGTCGGTGCTGAAGGACCTGACGTTTCCGAAGCGGCCGATCGTTCAAGGTTGAACGATCCCCGCGGTGTCAGGAGCCAACGCTGGGGTCGACGCGACACGACCCGCGGTACATGTCCACGCGTGTGATGGCTGTTCAGCACGTTTGGCGTCCGCCCGGCCGCAGGGACGCCCCTCTCCGCCACGGTCGCATCGGGCTCGAAGGGCTGCAGATTTCCGTCAGAGGGGGGGCCGACTCGGAGGGAGCAGCAACGCAGGGACGGCACTGGCCATCAGCCGCCTGGCCATCAGCCGCCTGCCGCCAAGGAGGGGCAAAATCACACAGGCGAAAGTCATCGCCGATTCCCAGAAATATATAGGGGGAAAGGTGGAAAAAGATGGGAAGTGGGGGGGGGGGGGAGGACGAAGACCGATGAGACGTGGGAGACTGGGGGGAACCCTGGGCATTGTGTGCATCTATCTGTGTGTCCCTGGGCCCCTGCAGAGACCTCTCTTGCCGCGCGGCCCCCCGCCCGCGCATGCAAAGGGGGCGTCGTGCAGGGCCCTGGCCGCTCGGGCCGCGGGCACCTCGCCGCCCTGGCCACGCGGGCACGCCGCGCCCGCACAGGGGGGCCACCACGCCGCAGATTGGAGGCGGCCGCCGTGGTGCTGCCGTGGAGGCCTGCCCCCCACGAGGCGCTGCTCCCGGGACCCGTCGGTCGTTGGCTCCCGGCTTCCAATCTTTTTCGAGCTACTCGCAGGCTCAGTCCACGTTAGGCTTCTGTCGGGCGGGTCCCCCTACAGGAGGATTTTCGACGAAGAATAGCAAATACCCCCAAAATACACCAAAAAGGTAAAACAAAAACCCCCCAAAATAGTCCCCAGACTATGTTTGGATTATTGTTTGGCTATTTTTGGAATATTTTTGTTAAATTGTTCGTCGGAAATCCCCCTGAAGGGGGACACGCCCGACATAACGTTAGGCGCCTTCCTACTTCGAGGCTCGAGTGGCTTCACCTTTTCCGTGCTCCTCGGGGGGCGAACGGAGCCCAAGCTAATTTCAGCGCCCTCGTACTGCATGTGTCTGCCTACGGTAGGTTCGCGTCGTGTCGACCGGCGGCGACCCCGCCGCCGGCGATCACTGTTGAACGCCGCCGAGGACCCAGAATCGTTCGATGTGGAACGATTCGGGCGTTTCGGAAACGGCCGATCGTTCAAGGTCGAACGATCCCTGCGGTGTCAGGAGCCGACGCCGAGGTCGGCACGACACGAACCTGGCGCGCTTCTTCCGACGGCGCTGGCGGGTCCCTCGTGCCGGGCTCGACCCTGCGCCTCCCGGACTCCGCGGCCTCTGCTCGGCACGAACGAACTGGGTACGGAAAGAATGGGTACGATGCCCAACAGCAGGACAGGACTCGCTGTCGGCTTCGCCGCGGCCTGTGTCCATTTGAGACAGAAGGCCGCCTGCCCAACAGCGGCCGCTGTTGGTTTGGGACAACATTTGTTGTTGGGCATTGCACCCCTTCTTTCATTGCCCATGTCGGGCGTCCAAATCTGCGGGCGCCGCCGCCCCGGCCCGAGCCCGACGGCCCAAGAGGAGGAGGCCGCGGCCCCCGCGGAGGCTGCGCGGGTCTCTCCGGCGGCCGGGCCGCCGAGGAGCCTTCCCGCCTGAGTCGGGGGCAAGTATCGGGGGGGATAGGCATCGAGGGGGGGAAGCATCGACCCCCGATCGCTCGGAGGTTTGATAGACCTCCTACCCTGACACGTCGATCAAGGAATTGGCCGTTTTCGGTTCGCGAGAGGGCGTCGCGGCCGTCAATTTTGCGGGTCCAGGTCCGTCGCGTTTTTACCAAGGGGAGGTTTACTGAAGGGAGGTTTGTCCACCGCCGAGGAGGGGGGGATGCATCGACCCCCGATCGCGCATTGATCGCCGACAGGGGCCCGATAGCCCCAACCTACCCAGGAAGGTGCGGACTTGCTATCGGGGGCCTATCGCCGATCTGTCGGCGATGCATCGCCGATTCTAGGTCGGTGCCCCCCCCCCCCTATGCCAGTCCCCCAGCGCTGGGCTCAAGTCGGGCGTGTTCCTCTACAGGAGGAACATTTAAAGATTGTTATAAAAACTCGGGTGACGGTGATCTACCATTTTTGACTATTGGGGAGTATGTTTTTCGTTGTTTGCTGCTTTCCAAGATCCGTCTGTAGGAGGACATGCCCGACCTGACGCTGGGCACCTCCCGCCCGCCGCGCGCGGGGGGGGGGGGGGCATCCTGCTGGCCCCCCCTCTCGGCGATGTGTGCGAGGAGTTGCTTCCTGCGTCCCACGGGCACGCGCCAGACGCACTCCTCGGGAAGCCCGGCGAAGAGGGAAGAGCGCAGTCTCGGGTGCCAGCTTGCAGAGCACAGGTGCAGCGGGGACGCCAGTCACCTCACAGTCGGACTGGCACCTCCATGACATGTCCACAGAAGCTTGATGCGGACGTGCATCTGGACTGCCAACCAACATGGGCCGTCCACATAGTCACGTGCTACCACTAAAACACGCCGAGAAGCACACCACGAACAACAAGGGCAACCCCAACGAGCGCCACGACGTTCCACACTCCACGATGCTTCTCGACTGAACGACTGGCGCAGGCATGCTTCTGTACAATCGGTGAAAGGCGGATGCCTTGGAACGCGGCGAGAAGCTGGAGGCGTGGAAGCAGATGCTGAGTAGATCCCACGTGATCCAAGAGATGAAGCACGGCCACCTTGGTCGGGATGAAAATCAGCCAGTAGATCCAGGAGGCCCAGCAGCACCAGCGCGCTTGCCTTGCGGCCCCTGCAGCCCGAAGACGTGGTGCCCGCCGCAGCGCAGCGACGCCCCTCCGACGACCCCTGCGGGCCGAGCAGGGAGAGCAGGGCCTCCGGGCTTCGTTCGGAGCAGTCCGACGGCGACGACGGACAGACCCCCGAGCCGGACGCTGCGGGCGCCCACCGCTGCCCAGCCTGCGCCCGCCTTGCGCCGTGCGGCGCTGGCCCACTTGGCTCCGCACCCGCCACCAGCGCCGCCTCTGCTTGGGGGCCTCGAAAAAGGGCCCGAGGAGGGACCTGGAGAGCCACGAGGTTCTGTTCGCAACCAACCGCGGTAAGTCTTCCAACGTTGTGGCCGGATTGTCTCCAAGGCCCTCGATACTCTACGGGATGGGGTTCACGGCTTCTTCTGATAGAGGATTCATGGTGGGAGGAGGAGGATGATGAGGAGGAGGAGGAGGAAGTGAGGAGGAGGAGGAGGAGGAGGAGGAGGAGGAGGAGGGGAGGAGGAGGAGGAGGAGGAGGAGGAGGAGCAGAAGGAGGACAAGCTAGGTGCGCTCGCGTCATATCTGACGTACCACCCCTCCCTCCCGTCCTTCACCATGGCGTGGATCTCCTCTCCATTCGCACAGTCGGATGACGTAGCAGGGCATAGCATTACATGGCAGACCATGGTGTCGAAGATGAACGCGTAGCCTGACATAGCATAGCGTGGCGACGCCCCAAAGTGGGGGGGGCTTCTGCGGCCCACAAAGTCAACGAATCGACGCCGAATAGGTAATCATTTCCGATGGTTATTTCCGGGGGGGCATTGTCTAGATTTTGGGGCCTGTTTGGAAGGACCGAAAACCAGGCCCTGGCATGGCGCTGGAAATATTGACGCCATCGCTGCAGCGGGAGCACGATTCGGAAGGAGCGGAAGCGCGGAAAGAGGCCAGCGCTGCAGCGGGAACAGCAATTTGAAACAAAAACCTGAGCGAAATCCCGCTTCTTGGGAATTGTGTGAGTGAGCAACTAGTACGCGGAGGGGGGCCGAGTATTTCCCAGACGTTTGGGGTGCTGAGATCTTTTCGTGGTAGGCCCATGGGCATGCCGGGACGGTCGGTCCCTGCTCAGGCCAGTGGCCACCTGGGTCAGGCCGAGCTTTTCCGGAGCCCGACTGCCCCTTGGCCGCGACGTCCGGAGGGCAGGTCTCGCCAGCGGCCTTGCCGCGCCCCTGCGGCCCTCTGCGCGAGGGCGTCGTCGTCGCTGTCGTGCTCCGTGCAGCGCCTGCGCTCAGTGCAGCGCCTGCCGTCGGCCCTGTGGGGCTTTTGCCCCTGTCCAGTGGCTGCCCGTGCGCCGCGCGGGGTGGGGGGGGGGGCGGCGCGCCTTCGCGGCTCCGCCCAGAGGCAGAGGGCAGGTGGAAGGCCTCTCTGGTTGACCCATAAGAGGGTCAAGCGACAGGAGGGCGGTGCAGTAGATCCGGTGCAACAGATTCATGGGGGTGCAATAGTTCTGGGGCGTGCAGTACATTCCGGGGCGCACTTGTTTTGATGGAGGCGCAGCACATGTGCAATGCAATTGCCCAAGATCTATTGCACCACCCTTTTTCAGCTGGACCCCCTTTTGGGTCGACCAAAAGAGGGAGGGCTGAGGCGAGGGCCTGGGGGGGAAAGGAAGATCACGGATGCAGGGTGTTGGTTTAGGCTTGAGTTGGGCATGTCCCTCTACAGAAGGTCTGGGGACGATGTTACGATTACGTCTGATTAGTTCTGAGCATTGTTTTATTATATGTTTCTTTTGTCGCAATCCGCCTGTAGGGGGACATGCCTGACCTAACTCTGGGCCTCCCAGATGGGGTCGGAGTTGATGGGGTTGGAGGATCGCACCGCATCGCCGATGCATTGCCGATATGGCTCGATGAGCAGCCCGATGTGCTTCACGTCGATATGCGGATGCATCGCCGACGTCGACGATTCATCGCCGGCGCATCGCGGATGCATCGCTGATGCATCGCCCATGCATCGCCGATGTATCGGCGATGCAGCGCGACCCTCCGACCCCATTCAGGAGGCCTCTAGTTTGGGGAAAGAGAGGGGTGAGAGCCGGCGGCGAGCCCAAGGGGGACGTGAGAAGGGGCGGGGCTTCTCAGAAGGCTCGGATGTCTCCCGGCCTTCTGAGACGTGTTCTAAGCCTTCCCCGAAGGCACAGACAACCTTTCGGAAGGCGCGAGGGCTTCTGAGAAGCTCCGCCGCCTTCTGAGAAGGCCTTCTCCTTCTCGCTTCGCCTCCTCGCTCACTGCCGAGAAAGGGATCAAGATCACAGAAGGGGGGGACGGCGGAGGGGAGGGAGAGATGGGAGAAGATCACGGATCGACGGGCGGGGTAGGGACGGTGGATGGACCAACAAGGCCAGCGGGGACCCTGGACACCCCACCCTTCTGTAGGTGGCTCTCGGCTTTTCCGCGCAGAGGGGTGACAGGGCGCGTAGTCCGACGGCCAGGCGATGCAAAACAGCGCGCCCGCAAGTGTGAGGAAGGAAGGAGCAAGACAATGTCAGATGATGTATGATGATTGGGGGCCTGGGGGAGTTTCAGGAGGGTCAGGCAAACAGAGCAAGAGAGAGGAAGAGAGCGAACAAAGCGAGCGAGAGAGAGAGACAACACAAGTTGCAAGGCCAAGCCACACATGTCCTCCTCGCAACATTCGCACACTACGCATAGTATGAGGAGGAGGAGGAGCAGGAGGACGACGAGAAAGAGCAGGACGAGGAGGACGAGGTCGAGAAATATAACAGTCTGAGGAGGTTGTTCGGAAGAGGGAAGCGGGGTGGAGGAATTGGAGAAGCAGGAGTATGGAAGGGCATTGGCGAGGGCAAGGATGATGATGATGATGATGATGAGGAGGAGGAGGAGGAGGAAGGCGACGGTGACAGGGGCGAGGAGGCAGGACAGAGGAAGGATGATGAGCAGGGAGGATAAGCAATCACAGTAGCAGTGAGTGGCAGCAATGAAGTCGGAGGAGCTGTGCTATGAGAGACAGGGAGAGCGAGGGAGACGGAACGGACAGAAGGAGAGAGAGAGAGAGAGAGAGAAAGAGCGAGAGATAGACATATACATATATACCTATCTATATACACATATGTATATATACATACATATACATGTACATATACACATACATATACCTTTACATACGCACACACACATACATATATACAAACATGCATACATGCATGCATGTATGCATACATGCATGCACACATACATATGTATACATACATATATATATATATATATATGTGTATATATATATATATATGTATATGTATACATATACATATACGTATACGTATACATATACACATACATATACATATACATATACATTTACACATACCTATATTATACCTATACATATACATATACATTTACATATACATATACATATACATATACATATACATATGCATACACATATACATATACATATACATATACATATACATATCCATGTACACATATACATGCCCATACACATACACATCCATATACATATACATATACATATACATATACACATACACATACATATGTGTATATGGGTTAGCCTACGCACCTCTCTGAGGGAGTAGAGCTGCACACAGGCTATTGATTGAATCCGTCCCGTTCGCAATGATTTTGGCCGTTTCGATCGTGACACCTTGAGCATTGTGACAATCGGACGCACCCCTCACGCAGATCGCGACGTCAGGGTCAGGGTCCAGGCGCTGCTCGACGCCGGAACGGCGGCAACCAGCAGCTCCCCTGCGTCTTCCGCGCGGCCCAGCGGCCTTCAAGATGCAGATTACCGTTCGAGTGCCTGGTAGCCAGGCCTCGGTTCGCTCGACATCGTTCCTAAAGAAACAGTTGTTGTGTTTGAGACGCCACTCCCAAATTCGAGAGTGTTTTTTTATCTTCGACAACAGTTTCGTTCGAGACACCCTCCAACAATTGTCCTGCGCCACGCAAATCGCAATGCGTGCCAACCTCACCTGCGTTCGACTGCGATCCCGCTGGTCTTCCCGACAGCCCCCTGGTGATTATCATAATCCTCCTCCTCTCCATTTGTCTGTGCTTCTTCATCTTCTGCCTGCTACTCCGGGGGTCCGAGTTCATCTTTTCTCTTGTCTATATTATGCGACGTTGGCGTGCTGAAGTGTTTTGTTTGTGTCAGTCTGGGCACGCACGTGACACCTGTAGAGAGAGAGAGAGAGAGAGAGCGAGAACGATCTATGTGGGGCAAGGGAGGGAGAGAGAGAGAGAGGGAGATAAAGAGAGATACAGGTACATGGCGATACACACATCGAGGAAGAGCGGGAGAGAGAGACGGAGGGAGACAGATAAAGAGAGAGAGAGAGAGTGTGAGAGCGAGACAGGTGGAGAGAGAGAGGGTCGTCACGCACACACTGAGGAAGAGACAGAGAGAGAGAGGGAGAGAAAACCAAGGAGGTGCCAACACAACGGCAGACGACGAGCAGCAGCAGCAGCAGCAGCAGCAGCAGAAGCAGGAGCAGGACGCGGGAGGAGGAGCCGCCAGGCTCGCCTGCGACGCCGCGCAGCCGAGCGCTCCCCCGCGGGACACCACCGGGACGCCGCACGGGGGGCGCGTTGGGGAGCCTTGGGGCTCTCTCCAGGGGCCGCCCCCCTCCTCCTCTTTTTCCTACTCCTCCTCCCCCTCCTCCCCTCCGTAGCCATTTTGGCTCAAGCCATTTTGGCTCAAGCCATTTTGGCTCAAGCCAGCTGGGCAGGAGCAGCCCTGCCCCCTTTTCGCCTACAGCCACACGCCGCTTTTGCCGCCATGTCGTCCAGGACGCCCTGGGTTTTGAAAGAAGGAGTAGGAACTCCAGTTGTCACGCATACTAAGTTGCTTTGCCCGCGAGGCAGACCAGACTGTTGGATCTGGCCAAACAGAATTGCCTCTCAACCTTTCTGTAAGTGCGGTCTCCCTTGGCATGGGAAGAGGTCCCAGCCGCTTCCGCCTCCTCCGCCACTAGCAGTAGCAGTGAATATTGGGCTCAAAGAACAGCCCACTGCTGAGGTAACATCTGGCAGTGAGAAGATTCAGTCCAAAGATATGCCCACTGTTCAGGTAGAAGCCGACAGTGAGGAGGCGCATTCATCACCGCCGCCTCTAGTGGCAGTGAAGTCTGATTCCAAAGTCAAGGCCACTGGTCAGGTAGAACCCGACTGTGAGCACGGCCAGGATTTCAAAGTCAGGCATCAGTTCAAGTTACTGATCTCAGATGTCTTCCAGCAGTGCGAGCCCCTAAATGCTGGATCAGTTGGACTTTTTCTTGGACAAGTACAGGGGGAAAGGAAGTATATTTACTTGGCAGTGTGCGATAAATTCAACGTCGGGCCTAAGGTGAAGGTTCAGATCTCTAAGAAGGAATAAAACTGTCCAGATGTATTGGGCAGTGGTAGCGATTCGCAATCACCTTCTGTCAGTGCAAAACATGTCGACCGTCCTCGTTCGACTTCGCCAGAGCACGCTAATAAGCGTGCGAAGGTTGGGCACAGCGATGCATCCCCTTCCAATGATTCAGCCTCTTCCAATCCAAGTCTTCTGGAGCTCAAGTGTGGTCTCCAGGCTATCAAGATCAATCGCCTCCAGCAGCAGCTGGAGACACTTCAGATTGAGCTCAGTCGTGTAAAGAATCAAAACACAGCTTCAGGCAGTGCGCCTGTTCCCCGGAGGAGCAGATCCAGCTCAGACTCTTCTTCTTCAAAGTAATTGGAGAATCAATTGTCACTGGTAGCACCCATGTCATTCAGTTCAGCGGGGCCATCGGCGAGGAGGAGTAGCAGTGGGGCCACCAGGCTGTAGGCCCGTGATTCGCACTTTCCTGTACCAGTCGTAGGTTGTAGTTTCCAGTGTTACAGTTCTGCTTCTTGCTGGTTACTGTAACTAGTTGATTGACCGCGCGAGGGGGGGGGGGGGGGGGGGGGGGGGGGGGGGGGGGGGGGGGGCAAACAGGATTGGGGCCACCCCCCCTGGGCGCGTCGTCTGAATTGCTGGGTGAGCTCGAAATCAACACCCCTCACGCAGATCCGCGGGGTCAGGGTCCAAAAACACATGGGATTTGCCACATTTCTGAAATTCGGTGCCACCCCTCACGCAGATCCGCGGGGTCAGGGTCAAAAAAACACATGGGATTTGCCACATTTTTGGAATTCTGTGTCACCCCTCACGCAGATCCGCGGGATCAGGATCCAAAAACACACGAGATTTGCCACATTTCTGAAATTTTGTGCCACCCTTCGCGCAGATCCGCGCGGTCAGGGTCCAACAACACAAGGGGATTTGCCACATTTCTGAAATTCGGTGCCACCCCTCAAGCAGATCCGCGGGGTCAGGGTCAAAAAAACACATGGGATTTGCCACAATTCTGAAATTCGGTGCCACCCCTCACGCAGATCCGCGGGGTCAGGGTCCAAAAACACATGGGATTTGCCATGTTCTGAAATTCGGTGCCACCCCTCAAGCAGATCCGCGTGGTCAGGGTCCAAAAACACATTGGATTTGCAACATTTTTGAAATTCGGTGCTACCCCTCAATCAGATCCGCGGAGTCAGGGTCCAAAAACATAGGAGATTTGCAACATTTCTAAAATTCTGCGCCACCTCTTACGCAGATCCGCGGGGTCAGGGTCCAAAAACACACGGGATTTGCCACATTTCTGAAATTCGGTGCCACCCCTCACGCAGATCCGCGGGGTCGGGGTCTAAAAACACAGGTGAATTGCAATGGTTCTGAAATTCGGCGGCACCTCCTACGCAGATCCGCGGGGTCAGGGTCCAAAAACACAGGGGATTTGCAGCATTTCTGAAATTCGGTGCAACCCTTCGCGCACATCCATCGCAAGTCGTGGCAACCCAAACTGCGAGAACTCCCTCGGCCCTTTAATCGCAAGGTGTGGTAACCAAGCCCGTGAACCATACACGTCTTACCAATCGCCAAGTGTGGTAACTCCTCGTGTGATCAGTTGGTGTTGCTGGTTGCGAATCGGCCTCGCATGAAGTTTCGATACTGCTTCACGACAGCGCCAAGGTCTCATGACTTAGCTCTTCCATGGCCCATTATCCGAGAGAGGGGGCCGGCGGCGGGGGGCGAAGCCCTTACGGATATACATATATATATATACACACATATATATATATATATATATATATATCATATATATATATTATATATATATATATATTCAATATGTATGTATGTGTATACAGGACACATATTATGTGTAAATAGATGGAATATACACACATTCATACATACGTAGCACCCCGCAGATGCGGATAAGAGTGAGGGGGCGGCCAGGACGTCGGCAGTTTGCGAGACTCTGGAGAAGCCCGCCACAGGCGCCAAAGTTGCACAAAATATACAACGAGCCCACCGCAAGCGCTGATTTTTTCGTAAGACAATGTGCGTAGGTCGCGGGTGGGTCGCAAATGGGTCGCGGGTGGGTCGCTCTTGGGTCGCGGGTGTAGAAGGCAGAAAGTCCACCCCATAATAATCACCCCGGCAAGCGAAGCCGTTTCGTAAACGCACTCAAGGAACGAATCGAGCAGGGTAAGGCTGTTTAGTAAACGCCCAGGGCCGTTTAGTAAACGACGATTGCTGGGTCCGGATGGTTTTTCCTCTCTTGAAGGTGGGTCGCGGGGTGAGTCGCGGGTGCGTGGCGGATGGGTCGCGGGTGGGTGGCGGATGGGTCGCGGATGGGTCGCGGGGTGGGTCGCGGGTGGATCGCGGGATGGATCGCGGGTGGGTCGCGGGTGCGTCGCGGGTGGGTCGTGGGGTGGGTCGCGGGTGGGTCGCGGGTTGGGTCGCGGGTGGGTCGCGGGGTGGGTCGCGGGGTGGGTCGCGGGGTGGATCGCGGGTGGGACGACGGCAACAAACGACAACAACAACAACAACAACAACAACGACGACAACAATTACAGTAACAACACCAACAACGCAACAAGCAGAATTCCCCCACGCGTTCTCCATTCAGCCACGCACCCGCGGAAAATGAATGACCGCTTGGCCCCCGCACTCTGGTGTGTGTATATATTTATTTATATTATTATAATATATATATATACGTGTATATATATATATATATATATATTCACATGTGTGTATGTATAGATTGGGTTAAATACTATTGTTTGTAGTACGATTAAACATGACGATGATGAATATATGTTTCGTTTTGTGTGTATATATAAACAACAAAAGATGGGGGCACCCTCCACGTGTTGTTGTTTCTCTGGTATCTACCATCCTCTTGTTTTTGGGGTTTCAAGATCGAGTCTGGTTTCATTGTGATATCCCCCATCATGTCCCCTCCTCCGCCTTCCCCTGGCCCTCCTGTTCCTTCCGCCCCTTCAACTCCAATTCATATTGCTGTTCGCCTCGCCCCAGCGATGGCGACTTCTCTGGCTCCGAATCTTTCTTCATCGTTGTCGCCCTCCCCGGTTCCCCTCCTCCGCCTTCCCCTTCTCATCCGTTTCTTCCCCATCCTTCCGCGTTGGTTCCTCCTGCTGCTGCTGCTCGTCCTCATCCTTTTCCTCCCGCTCATCTTCCTGCTCACCCGCCACCACCTCCTCCTGTGCGTGCAGCTCCCCGTCTCCGATTGCGCATACCAAGAACTGGTCATTCTGTGGGAGCCGCAGGACAGCTATGACACGCGCACGCGGATAATGAAAAACCAGCGCCATGGGAAGGGACGGGAGGGAGGGAAAAGATGCCAGATGAGGCGCGAGCGCACCTAGTTTGCCTTCCCCCTTTCTTTTCCACTCCCCCCCCCCGCGCGCGTATCCTCCACCACCTCCTCCTCCTCCTCCATCTCATACTATTACTACTACTACTACTACTACTACTACTACTACTACTACTACTACTACTACTACTACTATTACTACTACTACTACTACTACTACTACTACTACTACTACTACTACTAC